ATTTTCTTTATCCATTCCTCTGTCAATGGACATCTCGGCTCTTTCCACAGTTTGGTTATTGTGGACATTGCTGCTATAAACATTTGGGTGAATGTGCCCCTTCAGATCACTACATTTATATCTTTGGGGTAAATACCTACTAGTGCAATTACTGGGTCATAGGGTAGCTCTATCTTTAATTTCTTAAGGAATATCCATACTGTTTTCCAGAGTGGCTAGCTTCCCACCAACAGTGTAAAAGGTTTCCTCTTTCTCCACATCCTCACCAACATTTGTTGTTTCCTGGCTTGTTCATTTTAGCCATTCTGACTGGTGTGAGGTGGTCTCTCATTGTGGTTTTGATCTGTATTTCCCTGATGCTGAATGAAATTGAGCATTTTTTCATGTGTCTGGTGGCCATTTGTAGGTTTTCTTTGGAGAAATGTCTGTTCATGTCTTCTGCCCATTTCTTGACTGGAGTATTTAGTTATTTTGGGTGTTGAGTCTGATAAGTTCTTATAGATCTTGAATACTAGCCCTTTATCTGATATGTCATTTACAAATATCTTCTCCCATTCCAAAGGTTGCCTTTTGGTTTTGTTGACTGTTTCTTTTGTTGTGCAAAAGCTTTATCTTTATGAAGTCCCAATAGTTCATTTTTGCTTTTGTTTCCCTTGTCTTTGGAGAAGCGTCTAGCAAAAAGTTGCTGCAGCCGAGGTTGAAGAGGTTGCTGCCTGTGTTCTCCTCTAGGATTTTGATGTAGACTTCACTTTTGAACAGATTTTGATGGATACAAAATTCTAAATTGATAGTGTTTTTCTTTCAAGGCTTGAAATATGTCATTCCTCTGTGTTTTTGCTTCTCTTTTCTCTGGCTGAAGAGAAAACAATATGATTCTAACAGCGGTTTTACCACAGGGCAGTTTTCCCCACCCCCAGCAGTCTTTCAAGGTTTTCTCCTTGTCTTAATGTTCTGACACTTGTCATAACAAAGGGGTTGATAACTTGATACGCATCCTGCTTGATGTTTTCTGAGATGTTTGGATCTGAGGTCCAAGTACGTTAAATTAAAGTTTTCTGCCATTAGTACTTCAAATATTTCCTCTAATTCTCTGCCTTGTGTTTTCTTCTTTTAGTAGTTCCATTGATGTTACACCTTTTGTCATTGTCCTATAGTTCCTGACTATTCTATTTTCATCGGTTTTTCTCTGTTATCATTTAGTGTGAGAACATTCTGGTGCTGTATCTGCAAGCTCACTGAACTTTCCTTGCTCAGGAGCTCAATAAAAGCATTTTCCAATTCTGTTTACAGTGATTTTTATTTCTACAACTACCTTTTGATTATTTCCCACAAGTCCACCTCTCTGTTTACAGAGCCCATCACTTTTTGCATGCTGTCCACTTTTTTCACTGGAGGCTTTAGCACATTAAATGTGTTTGTTTAAAATTCCCAGTTCTCTAATTCCCCAATATCAGTCATATCCCAGTCTGGTTCTGCTGCAGGCTCTGTTTCTTCAAACTGTGTTGTTTTTGCCATTTAACATGCTTTGTAATGTTTGGTGGAAATCTGGACATGATGCACTGAGCAAAAACTACTGAAGTAAATTTTCCTTTAATGTGAGTTTTTTTATCTTCTGGAAGTTACTCCCATGTTCACTGTTTGCTGTGAGCTATAATGTTTGAAGCTATAAATTCCTCTGAGGTGCTTTTTATTTTGCAAGAGGTTTTTGTTGCTTGTCCTTACTGTTTGCTTTGGGTTTTCCATGATACTTATTCTTCAGTAAAATCTGAGAGTTGACATTCTTTCACTTGAAATCATGTCTTGATAACCAGAGCCACATTAATGCAGTGGAAAAGTAGGCGAAGTGTTGTGTAGTTGTATGATTAGATCTCAAGGGTTTTAGTGAAAGTATGTCTCTGGGACTTGGCCTTTACAAGTGCTTCTCAGACCTTTGTTCCCATTAGCTAAGAGAATAGAAGGAGCTGGAGTTGGGTTCCCTCCTCTACATAGAAACCTGGAGGGGTCTAGATTTGGGGATTTCCTTACTCCAGGTCAGTTATGCTCTGATCAAACCCAAAGTGGTTGCTCTGCTAACACAATTCCCCTTGAGGGAAGGCTTCTTTAAGGAGAACAGAAGGCTCTGGGTGTGTTTCAGATGATTGCTTCTCTTCTCTTCCAGATGGAAGTTGAACAACTTTTCCTTGACCTTCATTGTGACAATGTTGTAGGGCTACTTGAGGTAAGTCATAGAAGTGTGGAGGCCCCCACCAGAATTACCCCCCTGGAGATTTTCACTTTCCAGCCATGCTCATGGAGCCTCCAGAGATTCTTCAGTCATTTGCAGCCCAGATCCTGGCTCCTGCAGACTCTTGTGCTTCTGAGGCTGTGACTCGTCTGTATTCATCTGTCTCTCGTTTTTGTGGTGGCAGTTTGTCTTGAGATCTCAGTTCTCTGATGGATTTTTGAGGACTTGTTGATTTTCAGCTTGCTCAGCATTTCTCTTGTTGCAGTGACAGGAGTAATGATGTCTAAGCTCCATACATATCAGACCACAAACTGGAAGACTATTAATCTTTAATAAAAAGTAACCTTAGCTTGCTTCCTCTGCAAATAGCTCCCTTTCATGCCCTAAAAAAGGAGGAGATGTAATGAGGGAGTCCCTCTGAATTTTAAAATGGGATGTCAGGAATTGCTCAGGGATATGTCACACCCTATAATGAAATCCTGCCTTGTTTTTCCCAGCTCAGCAGCTGTAAAGCCAGGCCCATGTTCCTTAGGTAAGATACTTATGTACATGATCTGCCTGGGGTGATAAAGCAAAAAGTTAAAACAGAAATGACTATGTTAGACAAAATGAAATGTGTGGAATATGATAGGGATGTCCAATCTGCTCCAGGTCAGAGAGGTGTTTGAGCAGCAACAGTTCCAACAAGCAGGGATGAATCTCCCTGTGTATACCTCCCCTGGGACCCATGTTATCCTGGGCTGCATCCTTAAACCCAAAACACACTGTCATATGCAGTTGTCAGTCCTTCTATCCATCAAGGTGTGCTACTCTCTCTACCCTGTTAGCTGGGCCATAGGAAATTTGAAACAGATCCAGCCCCCATGTCACCCCTTATCCAAATCTGTGCTTTTCCACACTTGGTCTACAGAGCATAGGCACATGAGAATTATGCAGAGGAACAGGTACAAGGTTTTATGATAAGTTCTGGAGAAGACACAAGGGTTCTGGGTAGAAAATAGGGAGGGGGAGGAGACAAGCTTAGGCAGAAGGAGTCCTGCCACATCCAAGTCTGGAGGAAAATAGGACATGAGCACTTCCATCAACTACCCTTTGAGGACTGTGACCACAGGGATTGAACAATAGCTTTAAACCACCCACCTTTGGGGAAAATTGCAGGGCAGGGAATGGGGTTGGAATGCTGTATCTGTGGGCACTCAGTTGGCTCCAAGATTACAAAGGTCAGGGCTAGATATTCATTTCCCATCTAAACAAAGCCCACACATGGTCCAGCCTGGGAGGAAGATGGACATAGTCCAGTCTCAATGAAGCTATTCCCTGAGGCCAAGCATTTGCCTCCCAAAGAACCAGATCCAGCCCTGAAGGAAAACATGGTCAATGGCCCAGAGGTTTTTAGTCTAACAAGCCCAGAATAGGGATGAGGGATCCTCTTGGTGAGGCTGTTTCTCATTATGTCTACTACAGAGGTAGGACTGCTAGGAGTAGCAGGAAAACACCCCCACTAAAGGCAGCCAGGCAGGCCATGGTGCTGGGCCCTCAGCTGTAGCTTTGACATGACCATGCCCTGGGCATGTGACTTGAGGGCAGTTGTGTCTCCAAACACAGTGGTGTTTATGGGGTTGACCTCAGTGTCAGAGGCTGGCTGGGGAGCCATTATACATGTAACATACAAAAGTGTGAATTGACTGATAACACATAAGGCTTCTGGTCAACAAATTTAACAATAGTTTAGTTTTGGGGGAGTCAAAATGTGGATATGTGGATTTTCTTTTTACATCAGGGTCACTGTCCCTAACCCCTGCATTATTCAAGGATCAACTGTGTATGCAGAACCATTTCTCATCATCTCCATCATTTCTAAGCTAATCAAAGCCACCATCATTTCTCATCTGGAATACTGCAATAGCCTCTTAATCTCCCTGCTTCTACTCTCACCCACCTTCAGACTGTTCTCAACAGAGCAGCCAGAGCAAATTTTTAAAATGTTATGTCATCGATTGAAACTTCCAAGTGTGGTTTTTGTCAGAATGACCAGGGACTATGAGCAAGAAATTCACAGAATTTTTAGAACAAGTTTCTTGGCTTCTTTTGTATCTAATAGTTAATAAATTTTGGATATGTGGCAAGAAAAGAAAAAGGTAAGATCATGTCACTCCTCAGTTCCAAAACCCTCCAATGTTATTACTGACACATCCAAAGCCCTTATGGTCTATAAGATCTGAAATGTGCCCTCCACCTCCCTCCTGATTCAAGGACTTCGTTCCTGATGTTCCCTCTGTTAGGAATACTCTTCCCCCAGATGTATTTATCATTGCATCCCCTGACTTGAATGTAAGCTTTATGAGGCAGCAAGTTCATTTTCTTCACTACCTCATCTGCAGTGTCTAATAAAACAGTGACATCCTAGGCACCCCATACGTATTTTTATATGCTACCAGTAATTGGGAACTGATCCTGGCTTTGAGGCTGAAAGGCGCGGGATTTGTGGAAGGAAAGATGACTTTTCTGTAGCAGGGAATGTGACTTCAGGGAGCCTCTCAGATGGAGAAAGGCAGCCTGCCCCCCTAGTTGATTGGTTCCTCTTCCCGCCCTAACCACGTCTCCCTCCCAATCTCCACCCCTTCTAGAGCCCTCTAGAGTTAATTGGCTGAACTCTCCAAGCCCTTTCACCCTCCCAAGTCAATGGTAGGGCAAAAACTGTGCGGGAGGCGGGGTCGGAGCTCCCGCGAGGCTGGCGGACTCCTGAGGGGGGCGGGAGGATCCAACCTCCGGGGCACAGAGAGGCCGAAACCTCCAGATGCCTAGAAGGGCCGGAGGGTAAGGTTGAGAGTTAGTGGGGAGTCAGTGACGCAGTTCCTTCTCCGCTGTGTTCCAAGATGTGGGCCGGGCGCTCTCGATGAGGGGTATGTGGCAGCCTGGCTTGGGGGTTCGGTCCGTGTTCTGGGAGAGGGTGGGCAACACAGGCTGAGACCCAGGCCTGCTTTAGCGCAGCCCGCTGCGGCGACGGGGAGGAGATCTCTAGGGGTAGTTGAGGGCCTCTCCCTCCCCTCGTTCGGTGCTGTCCCTTTGTCTGGGGTCTCGTCTCCCACACAGCGTAGCTGCTCGCTCTGACAGGGCTGATAATGGTTATAGAACTTTGTCATCCCCGCTCCTAGCCAGCAGGCCACCCTGGTAATAGCAGTTCCAGCCACGCTCAAAGGACTCCACAACCCCAGTTTGAATCGGATCACCAGTCCAATCCCAGGTGTGTTCCCAGTGAGGAACAGAGTTTTGCAGGAAGTTACTCATTCACTCATTCATTCATTCATTCAATACTTATTGAGCACCTACCAAAAAGTGCTAGGTCCTGAGGTTACAGTGTGGACAAAGAAGAGGTATTTTCTGGTAGGGAAGAAATGGAACAAGCTTGAAGGGCTAGAAGCCCAGTCTGGGAATCTGGAGGGGCTGAAAACACAAAACAGATTTTGAGGGCAAGTAATCCTAAGAACTAGGTAATCGTTAAAAACAAACAAACAAACAAACAAACAAACAAAACCAAGAAAACATCCACCTTTTATCCTCCTTTTAAAAACTTAAGTATTTCCTCTCTAAAGATACTTGACTCAAAAAGTCCCCTTCTCATCTCCCTGCTGCAAACTTTGGCTGGAAAGCAGGATTGCAGTTGGAATGCATTTTGCAGTTAGAGAAGAATATGGAGACTTTTAGATATCAAACAGAACAGGTGAAAAGGAGCAACTGTAGTTTGATGGAATGAGGATTACCTTCAGACACAGAAGATTTGTCTCTCACCAGCTATACGACCTTTGGCAAGTCATTCAATCTCTGGGAGCTGCATTTCCTCATCTTCAGAATGGGAATGATCATCCTTACTTTTCACAGTTCTTAGGAAAAGAAGTTGCCCAGGGATGGGACACTGCTCTGAGTGCCTGCTTGGAGTTGAGCTCTCAGAGAACTCAATCATTTCTATCTGTTTACAGTGATCCAACACCCCATTAGGAACTTCCTCACCAAACCCAAGGAAGGGATCAGGCAAGATTTGTGCTGGGCACATCCTTTGGAGTGAGGCTGTGCTGGGCAGGTGAGACCTATACTGTGAAATTAGTTATCTGGGGACAGGAATCCTGCTGACTAGAGGAAGGGGACCATGGCTGAAAGGGAGCATTTCTGGATGGCTATTTATTCAGGAGGAGAGAAGCAGAGAAGTGGGAGTGGGGCCTCTGGACCTTGAGGAGTACACTTTGGGGATGGGAAGAAAGGTAATATAGTTGAACTCAAATTTGGGTGTCAGGAGACTTGGATTTGAGTTGCAGCTTTCTTCTAAGTTTGTTTCCCCATCACTACATTTTGATAGAAGACACTGGGAGAGCTGGGTGATTCCTTCCAGCTCTGACATTATGAGAATCTCTGAGTAGTTAGACAGTCAGTATAGAATTGGGGCCCTGTTGGATGGCCCTGTTGAGACAGCATTGCCAAGATTGTAAATATACTGTCATGGTGTTCAGACAATATGCAGTACAAAAGGGATGAACAAGTGAAGGAAGGATGGTGGTGGTCATTGTGTGAAGAATGCTGTTCTTATCATCCCTGCACCCAGATAGACTTAGAATCTTGAACTTGTTTAACATTTCAAATCACAAAACATTTACTGAGCCCTCTTTGTGCTAGGTACTTTGTGGAATTCCACCTATGAATACCATGGCCCTTGCCCTCGGGGACTTAGAGCTTAATGTATACTTGTGAGGAGGAGTGACACAGACATACACCCAATTAATTCTAGTATAGGGCAACTCTAGTTTATATTACAGATTTGTTATGGTATTTTTTTGAAGTGCAGGAATTTCTGTATGATCAAATCTGCTTTTGTTACGATGTCGGGCTTTGTTTTATGCTTAAGGCATAGGCCTTTTGCTTCCTGAGATCAAGTAGTCTCCTGATATTTTCTCCCAGTTTTTTTTTTTTCTTTCAATTTTTATATTTCGTTCATCTGTCTTTGGAATTTTTCAGGTATTCCCTCTTACTCCTCACTCCATTGCAGCTAATCAGTAACCAAGGACCATCTGACTACTGCTCACAGAAACCTGTACAGGCAGGTGCTGCTGGTGAGTTAAAGGAATACAACCTCCCAAGATAAAACCTCTTTCTCTCTCTTTCTGGGAATAGGACTCTGCCCTTTGTGAGTTTCTCACAGCCTGAAGTGAATGGTGGTCCTAAGATCAGAACACTCACCCATCAGTCTCAGGGATTTGTAGGTCAGAGATTTGTGGGGCTTCATTTGTTCTCATCCATTTGCCAGTTGTCTCTGAGATTATGCTTTTATTCAGAGTTGCTTGGATCTCTTTTAGTGTTCTACTGGCCCTGTCCCTCCTTTTACTTCTCCAGCCAAGAGTTCACCTTCTCTCCTAGTGCCTGGGAATTCTTTCAGGGTTTTTTTTTTTTTTTTTAAGATTTTATTTATTTATTTGACAGAGAGAGAATGAGAGACAGAGCACATGAGAGAGGGGAGGGTCAGAGGGAGAAGCAGACTCCCTGCCGAGCAGGGAGCCCGATGCGGGACTCGATCCAGGGACTCCAGGATCATGACCCGAGCCGAAGGCAGTCGCCCAACCAACTGAGCCACCCAGGCGCCCTCTTTCAGGTTTTTTGAGGGAATTTCCCATCCAGTCAGGCAGAGGACAAATAGTTAGGTTTCTTTTTGACCAACCTCTCCTCAGACTGGCCCTCCCTGATCTTCTGATAAGTCTTGCTTCCTTCTCAGGCCCCCCAGAACCACCTTGGGCTTCCTTATGGCACATCCTTGTGCATTTCTCTTTCTCCGTTCCTGCTCTTCTAACCAAAATCTCTATCTCAGTGAGCTTCCTTTGCATGACTTCCTTTGTCCCTTCTGTCTTATTCTCAAATTTGCATTCCTGACATATTCTTCCTCTTCTCATCTAAAGTATTTTCCTACATCTTCATTTTCTTAGTGACATTACCATTATTGATATTCAGACCTGGATCTGATAACCTTGAATTCTTTCTTTTAGTCATCCTCTATGTCCAATCTGATACAAGTGTATGCTTTCCTGGAAATTGCTGGATTTCATTGTTCTCTTTCCTATCATTATCCTGGATTAGGGTCTCACTGTCTCATTCATTTGTTCAGTCATTCACAAACATTTATCGGATACCTAGAAAGTGGCAGACTCTCTAGTGGTCACCCATACTGCATTCCTAAACTTGTCTCCCAACTCATTTCCCTTCCTCCATTCTTTTTTTTTTTCACCTCTAATCCATCTGGGCTAATCTTCCTAAATCATTTTTTTAAAAAAATGTTTAATTGAAGTATAGTTGATATACAGTATTATACCCTAAAGCGTTCTTTTCCTAATTTCACTTTTAGGCAGGATGATATGAAATATATTGTCCAGACTGGAATATTTTTGTGAGTTAAGGGGGCCACTATTAATAATGATGCTAGAATGATGCTAGAAACTGTATTCTTGACAAGTGAGAGAGGAGAACGAGGTAGAAAAAAAAATGTAGAGTGGGGAAATAAAATGAGGATGGCTTGTTAGCCATTGACCATTAAATTATATCAATATATGCCCCATAATTTCCGTGTTCTGGCTCATATCACTTCAGGCAACTTAATTCTTTCATTTGTTCATTCAAAAAAAATTATTTTGGTGTCTACTATATGCTTGGAACTGTGCTAGATGCTGGGAAGACAAAGGTAAACAAAATGAATAAAATCCCCACCATCATGAAGCTACGTGATAGTGTAATCTCCCACTTATTTCTGAGTACACTGGCCCTGTGCAACCTTCCTTTTTTTTTTTTTTTGCCTCCCTCTCCCCCACGAGCTTCTTTTTGAGGAAATAATTCCTTCATGTTCTGGGGCTCAGCCAAAGGTTTGCCTTCTTAAAGCACCTCTCCCCGATCATTCCTCGCCCCAGTAATTGCTCCCTTCCCTAGCACCCTTCACCTCCTGGTTGGGTACTTTGTAAATCTTAATTTGGTCTCCTCATTTTTCACCATTTACTCCACTGTAAGCTCCTGAAAGGTAGATGTAATATTTCATGCTTCTATTAGTGTGCTCAGGCTGCCATAACAAAATCCCACAAACTGGGCAGTGTAAACAACAGATACTCCTTTTCTCACAGTTCTGGAGCCTGGAAGTCCAAGATCAAGGTGACCACCTGATTCAGTTTCTGGTGAGGACTCTTTTCCTGGCTAATAGATGGCCACCTTCTTCTTGTGTGCTCATGTAGCTATCCTCAGTTTGTTGGGGGGAGGGGAGGTAGGAGTGGAAGCAAAAGTGAGCTCTCTTCTGTCTTACAAGGACACACTAATCCTATCAGATCAAGCCCTTATGATCTCATTTAACTTCAATTACCTCCTTAAAGGTCACATCTTCAAATACAGTCACATTGGGGGTTAGAGCTTCAACATCTGAATCTGGTGGGGGGGGAGGACACATTCAGTATGTAACAATGCTTTATTTTATTTCTTTACTTTTTTATGTCCAGTAATGGTATTTATTGCTTTGTGATGGAGCCATGTAAATACCTGGCTATTAACAGTTTCCACGGACACCTCTTTCTTGAAAGCCACGATACTGATCTTTACCATAGCAGCTTTTAACAATAGAATAGTTACTATAGTAGCTAGCTAAGACGATTTAGATCAGTTATGCGTAGAAATGAGACATGCTGGTGTTGGCTTCAAGGCATTGTCTCATTCTGAATCTCTAAAATGTTTTGTTCTAGTAATTATGGGGATCCTCTAAGGTAATTTCCCAACTTTTCATAAGAAACACTATAAAAAGAATTAAAAAATAATACAAGTTAGCAGAAGACAATTTGCTAGCAAAATGAGAGGCCTCTATCATAGTAATTATATAAACTTACCCACCTGTTCATCCATCCATTCATTCATACCACAAATAGTTATTTTCTACTTTTCTGTAATAATGCTTTTTATTTATTTATTTATTTTTTAAAGATTGTATTTGACAGAGACACAGTGAGAGAGGGAACACAAGCAGGGGGAGTGGGAGAGGGAGAAGCAGGCCTCCCGCAGAGCAGGGAGCCTGATGCAGGGCTCGATCCCAGGACCCTGCGATCATGACCTGAGCCGAAGGCAGACGCCCAACGACTGAGCCACCCAGGCACCCCTGTAATAATGCTTTTTAAAATTTTCCCTGTTAGATCCAAAACAGAATATACAGAGTAGAATGCTCAATAATTACTACTTTAAGACATGTATGAAGAAAAGAGTTTCAGAGAAGATTACAAATGGAAAAGAAACTCAGAACCATCAACCTTCCCAGAGAACTCTGGAAATGGCTTCACTTACTGTTCTACTCTGCTCTGCAGGCACCTGGCTTCTCACTGAGTTTTCTCCTCTTTGATTAAGAGAGGTAGCAACAGCTGGATGTGAGTGTGCTTCAGGATCCTGGCAAGAATCCACCCCCCTACCACCATTTTCTCTGCCCCCCCTTTTCATCTTCAGCACACACATCTGTGTGTCCCTGTATGGCATCAGTGGCAGCTATATTCCTGAACTATGAACTGTAACCTCAGTTGGAAGTTCTCTTCCTTTCTTGCTGGTCTTGAGCACTCACCATTGGACATGTTCCTCCTTCAGAGTGTGACTCAGCTTATCAAAAGCTGTGAGACAGTGGAAACTGGTCAAACTTTTTTGAAAAGCAATAGGCAGTACTGCAAAAAAATTTCATTCCCTCTGACCCAGTAACTCCTTTGTGGAACTTTTATGCTAGGAATATATTTCATTAGGAGGAAAACTTTGCGTAAAGTGATCATGATAGCATTATTGAAGTGGTTAAACTGCAGGGAGCAACAAAAACATCTAACACTAGCAAAATTGTAGGTAAATCGTAATGAATTCAATTGGTAGTGTATTATATAATCATAAAATGATCTTATAATGATGAAATAGCAATGTAGAAAATTACATGTGGTAGGATGCAAAATTATATCTACCGTATATTTGTAACCATATATACTATAAAAATGGACACGTTTGGAGAGGAACATAGTAAAAAGAACATTAATTATGTGTTAATATCATGGAGTCATCTTTCCATTTTCTTTTATGACCCCGATCCCTTTCTGTGTATCCCAAGTTTCATGTCAAACCCGTTAGGAAGTTTCTGCTCGTTCCTGACATCGATTTCATGTATTGGCCCCTTTTGGTTGTGCTGTCTCCTACTTTCACCCTTTTGCCAATGTTAGATACTTTACCATTCTACCATGCAAGGTCTTATCAGAGCATGGCCTTACCCTGCCATGCTTTAGCTAGCCCTGTTCCCCAACTCAGCCTCTCAGGTTTGCACAGTAGATTGGGTGATAGCTTGTCAGAGTGATAGCTTGGTGAGAAGCAGACAGACTGAGCGCATGCAGCTGGATCCAGCTACAGAGCAGTCCCTACAGAGTAGGCTATGGTGTGACTAGGCTCCAGTAGGCTCTGGTACTGGAAGAACGGTATTACCCCTTATTAAGACAGGGCTTAAGAACAGAGATATAGGGGCGCCTGGGTGGCTCAGTTGGTTAAGCAACTGCCTTCAGCTCAGGTCATGATCTCAGGGTCCTGGGATCGAGCCCCGCATTGGGCTCCCTGCTCGGTGGGAAGCCTGCTTCTCTCTTTCCTACTCCCCCTGCTTGTGTTCCCTCCCTCGCTGTGTCTCTCTCTGTCAAATAAATAAATAAAATCTTTAAAAAAAAAAAAAAAAAGAACAGAGATATAGATAGGGGCCTCACACTTGGACTTAGAGCAAAAGATGAAATCTTAGTCATACCCTAAGGCAATCCCAGTTGCTGATCTATGAAACAATTCTTGAGCATCTATTTTGTGCCAGCCATTATATCATTGGTATTAGGGGAATAGGTCAGCAAGAACTAAAAGCCAAACTGATTTGAAGAGCTACTGAACTAAGGATCTTTCAGTTCATTTTTTCTAGGGACGAGATGAGGAGTTTGATGGCTCCAATTCTGGGAGTAGAGTGTGAGACAGGAGGAAACCTGGGTGGATTTTATATTACTCATTGCTTATCCTGATGCTGGACCTGTTGGGTTCCCCTCCTATCTTTCCGTAAGCCTTTACCTTGGCCTCTGGGTCTACCCTCATTTTTCTCATCTCGTTTTTGATCAGTTCCCTCTGTCTTTGAACACTTCCCCTTCCAAGTGAGACCTTGTGGTATACCACATCTTGTTATCTTTGGATAGAGAATAGGTGACATATGCAATTTCTGTTTCTTCTGTCAGATGGTGGAACTGGGACTGAGGAGGTGTTGATTCCAAAGTATCACTCCTGAAAAATCAGAATCTCACACTTTCAAGAGAACTCCACAGAGGTGTTGCCAGGGAAGTCAAAATTTAGAAAGCTCCTTCTGAAGAGAAAGAGAAGATTCAACAGGCCACTGTGATGCTTCAAGCAAGACAAAATGAGAAAGACAAGAAGCTTCAGGCATAAGACAGTTAAAGACAATGAAACACTTACAGAAGTGAGTGAGCAAGAATCTGAAAAAGATGGTAGTCAGTGCTTAGATCCTGCAACAAACATGAGAATTCAGGCTGAAAAGAAACAGTATGTATGTACTGAGTGTGGGAAAGCCTTTAGTCAGAGTGCAAATCTTACAGTACATGAAAGAATCCACACAGGAGAGAAACCCTATAAGTGTAAGGAGTGTGGAAAAGCCTTCAGTCATAGCTCCAACCTTGTTGTTCATCGAAGAATCCACACTGGACTGAAGCCCTACACATGCAGTGAATGTGGGAAATCTTTCAGTGGTAAGTCACACCTCATTCGGCACCAGGGAATCCATAGTGGGGAGAAAACTTATGAATGTAAGGAGTGTGGGAAAGCCTTTAGTCGGAGTTCAGGTCTTATTTCACATCATAGAGTTCACACTGGGGAAAAGCCCTACACTTGTATCGAGTGTGGGAAAGCCTTTAGCCGTAGTTCAAACCTTACTCAACATCAAAGAATGCACAAAGGAAAAAAAGTTTACAAATGTAAGGAGTGTGGGAAAACATGTGTTTCTAATACAAAGATTATGGACCATCAGAGAATTCACACAGGGGAGAAGCCTTACGAGTGTGATGAGTGTGGAAAAGCTTTCATTTTAAGGAAGACCCTTAGTGAACATCAGAGACTTCACCGTAGAGAGAAACCTTACAAATGTAATGAATGTGGGAAAGCTTTTACTTCTAACCGAAACCTTGTTGATCATCAGAGAGTTCACACTGGAGAGAAACCCTATAAATGTAACGAATGTGGAAAAACCTTCAGGCAGACTTCTCAAGTTATTCTACATTTGAGAACCCACACTAAGGAGAAACCCTATAAATGTAGTGAGTGTGGGAAAGCCTATCGTTATAGCTCACAGCTTCTTCAACACCAGAGAAAACATAATGAGGAGAAAGAAACATCATAAATAACATATATTGTTAGTAGGCCTAATTGCTACTTTTTGGAAAAACAATTTTTCATTATTCTCAACCTTAATTCAATTTCTAAGACTCCATACAGGGAAAGTAACCAGAAGCAAACAAAGATGAACAGAGGGATATTCATGCTAGCATCATATATAACTGAAGGAAGAGAACTAGATTTTCAGTAGTATAAGGTTTAAATAAATGATAGTCTATCTAACATGATGGTTTTGCAGCCATTATAAACATTCTTAAAGAATATTTAATGTCATGGGGAAAATTATTTGTATAAAATGGAAGATAAAAAACAAATTTGATCCAAATTTTTAAAAAATATTCACCTATAGGAGAAAAATGGGAATGAAATAACACCAAACCAAAACGTTGACAGTGATTATCATTGGGTGATAGGATTATAGGTGATTTCTATTTTCTTTATACTTTTCTAAGCTTCTTAGATTTTCTACAAGAATGTAGTACTTTTATATTCAGGAAAGAAGTACAATATTTTTTAAATGCAGTGAGTACATGCTCATTTTCACTCAGCAGTGTTATGAAAGGCATATAGAACATGGACCCTAAACTCATGGGATTCCACCCTAATACTGGCACTTGGTAGCAGTGGAAGCATGAGCAAGTCACTTCCTTTTAGAGCCTGTTTCCTGTTTATTAAATAATAAACACCAGTCGTTGGTCTTTTGCAGTTTTAAAATAAGCTGACTTTTTTTAACTCTTAGGTTAAAAGAACAACAAAAATTTACTGCATTCTTCTATCCCACAGTTGTAGAAGGCAGGTAATAGAGACTTCATCTTTCCAATATATATCTACAAAACCAGAAAAAACCCCTTACAAAATTGAAACAATTGCAGCTGCATAACCTGTAAAGATGTGGTCAGCATAATCTAAAATGAGGGGAAGACTCTGCCTTCTCATGTACAGTTTAATAGCTTAAAGTGCGAACTTTGGGATCAGAGATATGTGTTCTGATCCCAGATCTGCCACACATTAGCTTGTCAGTTTTGGACAAGTCACTTAACTATGCTGAGCCTTAGACTTATCTGTAAAAAGGGAATAATGACCTACCTAACAGGGTTGTGAGGATTTAATGAGATAATGCATGGATTGTGTGACAAAGCTGGCCCATAGTAAATGAAAATAGCTCAAGTATGGGACATTGGAGCAGTGTTTCTAAACTCTCAGAGTGATTCAGGAAGTTTAACCTGAGGTAGCATTTAGGACATTTTCAGGTGTAATGAACACAATATCACGTGCTAGTAGCTAAAACCTTAAGAACATTGATTGTTTATTTATGGGGAAGTCTAGAGGTATGCAGTTCCAAATTTGGTTTGGCAACTGAGCAATTCATAAAACTTAAGTCTTAACTCCATAATTTTCAGCATATAGGCTTTCATTTTTTGCAGCCTCTCGGTTGTAAGATGTTGGCCATAACTGGAAGCTCTTAACTGGAAGCTCTTCTCACACAACTCTTTCAGAATCAGGAAGTGAGGAAAGGAGCTGAGGCTTTCTGATCTGTTTGCTTTCTCCCTTTTATCATTGAGGAAACCTTTCTCGGGAGAAGGGAAGGATGCTGTGCAGTCAGTACTGCAGGTGCTCACTTGCTTCCTCTGCCTTTCTTTATGTCCAGCCCTTTGAGAAGGCCTTAACCCATTTTCAACCAGTGTTTTAAACTTCTAAGTCCTTAGCTCAAAATACATCTGGGAACACTTAGAATCTGCCCACTCTTTTTTTTTTTTTTTTAAGATTTTATTTTTTTTTTATTTGACAGAGAGAGAGAGAGAGCCAGAGAAGGAACACAAGCAAGGGGAGCGGGAGAGGGAAAAGCAGGCTTCCCGCAGAGCAGGGAGCCTGATTCAGGGCTAGATTCCAGGACCCTGGGATTATGACCAGAGCCAAAGGCAGATGCCCAACGACTGAGCCACCCAGGCGCCCCAGAATCTGCCCATTCTTAAACGCAGTCACCTCTCTTTCTTCATATACAGTGAATCCCTAAGCCTAATGTCATTTGTCTTATGCACGTAGTGATTATTGTTATCCCATTCAATTCTTACAACATTTGTACAAGAAAATTGAGTCTCAGTGAGATTAGGTGACTGACTAGTTAGTGATTGGAGCCAGGATGTGAACTCAGATTCGAGTTTTAGGTCCATGCTTTCTTCATATACCAAAGTGCCTCTGCCCACCATGGCAGTTCTATATGTGAGTGGGAGACCAGTTGGGACTCTCTTGAGTAGACACCTCTATGAAAGGCAGTTATATCTGGATAATTATTTGATCATGGTTTCATAAGGAAGATGCCTGTCTTCTCTGAGTTCGATTTACAGCTTATCTCTGCACCTTGTAATTTAGTTTTAAGGATTATATATTTCTTCCTTGCTGTTACTGGAGACAAAGAAACAGAAGGTTGTGAAGGGTATAGTTGTGTGAAAAGGGATTGTTTGCTTTTGTCCTATTTCGACAGGATAGTGGCTTACATTCAATTTTGGGATGTAATAGTCCCTCTTTGCATGGTTATTCAAAAACCTTTGCAAGGTTTGGAGGTTAGTCCCTCTTTGTATAGTTATTCCAAACAAGGTTTGCTGCATTCAGGGATAGGACTATTGGGTAGACACTTCCCCAAGAGTCTGGGTGGATACAAGGGTAGGGTAATCCACATGTGGCAGTGGGTTACACTACTGCAGTAAGGGTCCTTCCGTCATTTTTCCCTTGTCACGTGTCCTTTTAAAATTAAGGGAGGTGTTTGTAATTAGTATCCCATGCCTTTTGTCATGCCAGCCATCCTTACCTGCTGATTACCTATGTGGAGGCTCCCCATGACTAGTGTCTACTGGTGGCCAAAACTAAGAAAATAGGCAGTTGGCTTCTTGTATGCCTGTCAGAGGTTATTTTTTGAACATTTATTATTACCAAGCAGATTTGTTGATACTTCCTATGTTACTAAGCAGGTATTCTCTGACATTTTCCTATCATTGTCTCATAGTGTCTGAGATTTCTTCTTTCAAATAGGCTTTCTTTTTCATCTTAAAAGATTTTTGTGATCTTCAAGAGTAAATACCTTCTGGAAGGATACTGTGTCATCTCAAACCCAGCAATCTGAATACAGATCTTCACGTATCTTGCCCCAGGCAAGGTAAGATAATAGACCCTCGCCCATTTTCTAGGCTGATACTTGTCTTGAGCTGCAAGAGTAAATGCTGATAAGTGGTCCACATGCCCTTTCAGATAAATATTCTGCAGCATAATTTAAACTGATTATCCACCTTCCTCCAGGGACTTTTCAAGACTACCAGCTGTTAACTTCAGTCAGAGTTTAATTATGTATGCAATTCTTACCATACTTTCATCAAACTTAAGTCTTAACTCCATAATTTTCAGCATATTGGCTTTTCAAGATGCACTCTGGATTCAGGGTCTCCTTATGTTTTTTCCAGCTTCCTGTGCTAATGGAAACCTGGTTGTTCCTTAATAGCAGTGCTTCCTCTGCAGCCCCTCAATTGTTAGTTTGTCTCCCTCAACCCATTTACCTCTCTTTATTGCCATTTTTTCTGTATTCTCCATCAAAAACCCAGCTCTTTTGAAATACACATTGCTAGACTACTGTGTATTACCCATCCCTGTTTTTGTTATCTACTGGCTTCCTGTGTACTCACTTATTCATTTATGTTTTTAGTACCCTGAATATTCTGGAGGAATATGAAGAGGCGATATTTTTAGCCATAGATATCCTGGTTATGTAGAATTGCTCTTGTGTGGAATAGAAATATATATGTCTCCTTTTAGTTGAGATAGTGTGAAATAAAATCTCATTTTATATAGCCTTGATTAAAGGGAAATATGAAAGACAATGAATTCTGCATAGAGAGAAGAGTGTCTCCCTAGGTTTAGAGATATTTTTTATTGATGGTGTATACTGTATTAATTCTTACTTGGAACTGAGAAGAAAATCAAAACCAGAAAGGATTTTAAATAGCTGAATAATTCTGTTGCATTTAAATCCCATTAAGACTAAATTTCATTTCAGTTCTGTATCCTCAGTGACAGACTTTTTTTTTAAATTTTGCCATTAAATATAAATTCCATTTAATATAAATAAATAAAATAGTATGCTTGTATTGTTAGATTGTTTTCAGAAACTAGACTGTTTTTAATCACCTCTGATGTTATAAAACTGTTTTTGCAGGACATAGTTATAATTCCTCCAATAAATCTGTTATTATTGTTATAAATATCACTGAATTTTTTTTCTCGTTGCTTCCTTTGTTCAGAATGGGAAGAAAACAGTTCAGTTTGCTTTTCTTTAGGCAGCTGTTTTTGAAATGAAGTGATATGGCTTATTTCTGATTTAAACGCAACATGAAGCTTGTTATTTTCATGCTCCTACTACATAAATGAGAGCTCTCTAGCCAATAGAAAGTGTCCTGTAATTTCCTTAGAGGACTTGTACAGCTGGTTATTGTCCCAGCTCCTTTCTCTGGGCCCATTTGTGTTCAAATATTTACCATTATGTAGACCTCAGACGGCTATATAAAACTAGCCATGTTCCCTGACTTCTGTTTTCTGCTCCAGAAGGTAGGTTTATGAGTGGTGTAAAGGAGATGGCAGACTCCTTTCTAGGCAACATAGATAAGGACCTGACTAGTTCCCACTCTTCCCACTGACCATTCAAATGCACATGGCACAATTTGACCACAGGGATTATAGACATGCAAAAGCTATAACCAGTCTCTGAAACTAAGACCAGTGGACTCCAAATTTGGGAACCACAAGAGGTAACAGCACACATACAGATCAATTTCTGAGGCCCACCAAATCTGGACCAGGGTCCAGGGATCTATATAAAACAATACTTTTGCAGTGGGAATTGAAGAAAATTTTTCATTAGGATCCTAGACTCTACATGACTACTGTGATGATTGTCCATTTTTCCTTCAGAAGAACCTATAAATTACAAAATTATTGAGACATATACTAAAGTTTGTATAATCATTACAAATTAGCAACCAGTTTACAGAGTATGAAATAAAATGCTGTCACATTTGCAGTGTTTGTTTTACCACGGAATTGAGCAGATATTCATGTCTTTAAAAGGTATAATAGAACAGTACGGCAAACTAGATAATTGTAAAGCCCTTTGGCTACAAAACAACCTAGAAATTCTGGGTAAAATTTAAACATCCTTTTAAAGGACTTTTGAGAAGGTGAAATAAGTGCACAGAACCTAAAATGAAGAGGAGGTGGAAGCCAGCAAGGTAAGTGGGTGGTGATACCTTGGGTGCTGTGAGGCAGTTTGGTGATATTGGCCACGAAGGGACATAGATTTTATCTGCTGCAAGGGCAGGATTTGAATCTGTGGGCTTGTAAGAGGTGGAGAATTGGAAGTGAGATTTCCACAAGAAGCCCAGATGTTAAAGGGCTATACCCTCAGTGAAAGCATGCATTAGAAAAAAGTCAACCAGGAGGAGCAGAGGAGTACATCAAGGAAGGTTGTGAGATTTGTCATGGGCTCTAAGTGGCAAATAAAAGTCTCGCTAATAATTGTAGTCATGAGTCAATCCTCATGCTGTTACCTCTTGTGGTTCCCAAATGCAGCAAATTTATTGGAGAGTATTCTTGTGATAAACACCTATAGAGCAGGGAGAACACTAGATTAGTAGTAGGAGAAGTCATCTGAGTTGCTTCAAACTTGGCCAGACCAGGCTGTCTTTTCAGAACTGTGTAGACCAGAGGTGAGAGGTCTAGGCCCTTATACCCCTTCATCAATCAATCACTGAATACAAGCTCCATCATACCATCCGAAAGGGAACCATGATCTTGAGTGAGGTAGACTTCTTCAGCTGAGGATAGTTCCTGGAGAGAACTTACAGTTGAGGGCTTTCAGCCTGCCCCTCTAGTGGGTGGAAGGCAAGGGGACAATCTAGGGAAATCCAGACAGTGCAACAAAATGTCTTCTACACTGATCATAATGCAGTTAGAAAAGAAATTAACTAACAAAACCACATACATTTGGAAATTAAACACAACATTTCTAAATCAAGGGTTGAGGAAAGCTTAATGAAAATGAGAAAATAGGGCGCCTGGGTGGCTCAGTCGTTAAGCATCTGCCTTCGGCTCAGGTCATGATCCCAGGGTCCTGGGGTCGAGTCCCACATCGGGCTGAAGCCTGCTTCTCCCTCTCCCATTCCCCCTGCTTGTGTTCCTGCTCTCGCTATGTCTCTCTCTGTTAAATAAATAAAAATAAAAAAAGAAAATGAGAAAATACTTAGACATGAATAAAACTGAAGGAGAGACTTCCTCTTCTGGCCATATTAGAATTAGAGGGACCAGAATTACATTCCTGCCTGAAACAAAAATCCCAGACAAAGTATATGAAACAATGATTTTTAACACATTGATATCAGCAACAAAAAACAAGGATCCCTGATAGATAGAAACAAGTGAAATGAGCCTTTATGTGCCCCAGTTTATTGCCTTAAGAAAGTCCACAGGGGGGACGCCTGGGTGGCTCAGTCAGTTAAGCGTCTGCCTTCAGCTCAGGTCATGATCCCAGGGTCCTGGGATCGAGTCCCGCATCGGGCTCCCTGCTCCGTGGGGAGCCTGCTTCTCCCTCTGCCTCTGCCTCTCTCTCTATCTCTCATGAATAAATAAATAAAATCTTTAAAAAAAAAAAAAAAAGAAAGTCCCCAGGCAGTAGCATAGGAGGAGCCAAGTAGAGTCTGGTGAAATTCTTGAGTTGAAGAGAGAGCTGAGAATCCAAGGAGACCAAGGCAGGTGGGGTTCACAAAATAGTACTGGAGTGGGACGCCTGGGTGGCTCAGTTGGTTAAGCGACTGCCTTCGGCTCAGGTCATGATCCTGGAGTCCCGGGATCGAGTCCCACATAGGGCTCCCTGCTCAGCAGGGAGTCTGCTTCTCCCCCTGACCCTCTTCCCTACTATCATTCTCTCTCTCTCTCAATAAATAAAAATCTTTAAAAAAAAAAAAAGCTCTAAAAAAAAACCCAAAAAACCAAAATAGTACTGGAGGAGAGAGAACTACACAGAGATTTCTGGTGTCTGTGAATTGTTCCCCCCGCCCCCAGGATATTCAGCAGAGTATTAATGGGCACATTACATGAGGAAACTTATCTAAGGCCGGGGCGGGGGGGGGGGGGGACATTCCAAAGGATTTGAGTGAACAATTCTAGGCACAAACGCAAGGCCAGGAATTGTGTCTTCCCACAAGTCAGACTGAAAAAATCCAATTCCTTTGTGCATTGGGTAAAGTACTCAGAAGGGGCTTGCCTCAGTAGTGGAGAACAATAAGCCTAGAATAAATCTGAAGAAAACTACTCCAAGATACATCACAAATTGCCCAAAACCAGTAAAGAAGAGAAAATTATAAAAACAGCCAGAGGAAAAAACATGTGCAGAGGAAGAAGATAGGGATAACAGATTTCTCTTTGTACACCATGCAAGCATGAAGACAGTGAAGCAGCATCTTTAAAGTACTGAAAGAAAAACTTGCCATCCTGGAATTCTAGACCAGTCAATATATCATTCAAGCATGAACCAAGACACATCTTCAGACATTAAAATGCTAAAAGAGGGGCGCCTGGGTGGCTCAGTCAGTTAAGCGTCTACCTTGGGCTTGGGTCATGATCCCAGGTTCCTGGGATTGAGTTCCACATCAGGCTCCCTGCTCAGCAGGGAGTCTGCCTCTCCTTCTGGCTTGTGCTCTCTCTTTCTTGCTTTCTCTCTCTCAAATAAGTAAAATCTTAAAAAAAAAAAAAAACTAAAAATTCATCAGTAGCAGAACTTCGCTACAAAAAATGTTAAAGTAAGTCCTTCAGGAAGAAGAAAAATGACATCAGATGGAAATAATGGGGTTTTTTCCAACCTTTTTCTTACATGTTTTTAAAAGTTTATTTAAGTAATCTCCAGTGTGGGGCTCAAACTCACCACTCTGAGATGAAGAGCTACACACTCTTCCAATTGAGCCAGCCAGGTGCCCCTGTCTTACATTTACATTTTGGGCTGTTGTGTTGGCTGTCCTGTGCATTATAGGACACTTAGCAACATCCATGGCTTCTACCCACTAGATGCTGGTGTTTCAAAAATATCTCTAGGTATTGCCCCCAGGGGAGAACCAGTACAAAGCAAGTTGAAAACCACTGGTATACAGAAAGTGGTATAATGTCACTTAAAAGTGGATGGAACTAGAGGGTATTATGCTAAGCGAAATAAGTCAATCAGAGAAAGACATGTATCATATGATCTCACTGATACGAGGAATTTTTAATCTCGGGAAACAAACAAGGTTGCTGGAGTGGTGGGGGGTGGGAGGGATGGGGTGGCTGGGTGATAGACACTGGGGAGGGTAAGTACTATGGTGAGCGCTGTGAATTGTGTAAGACTGATGAATCACAGACCTGTACCTCTGAAACCAATAATACATTATATGTTAAAAAAAAAAAAGAAGATAGTAGGAAGGGAAAAATGAAGGGGGGAAATCAGAGGGGGAGACGAACCATGAGAGACTGGACTCTGAGAAACAAACTGAGGGTTCTGGAGGGGGGATGGGTTAGCCTGGTGATGGGTATTAAAGGGCATGTTCTGCATGGAGCACTGGGTGTTATATGCAAACAATGAATCATGGAACACTACATCAAAAACTAATGATGTAATGTATGGTGATTAACATAACAATAATAATTTAAAAAAACTAATGATGTAATGTACGGTGATTAACATAATAAAATAAAATTTTAAAAAAAGAAAGTAGATTAATAAAGATACATACTATAAATCCCAAAACAATCATTAAAATAACAAAATTATAGTTAATAACAAAAAGAGATAAAATTGCATAGAATTATACATCCACAAATTAGCATACGTAAAATTGGTGAAATCTCAATAAGCTCTGTAGATTGTACCATTCACTCTCCTGGTTGAATTTATATTGTGCTCTAGTTATGCAAGATGTGACCATTGGGGGAAATTGGGTGAAAGATACACAGGAACTCATTGTACCTTTTTTTTAACTTCCAAAATTTTAGAAAAATCAATCAAATCAATAAACCTCCAGCAAGATTAATTAGAGAAGACACAAGTACCAATATCGGGATTGAAAGAGATGATATCAATTAGATGAGATTCTACACCAATAAATTGTTGTGATGGTTAACTTTATATTGAACTTGACAGAACTAAGAGATGCCAGATAGTGATATTTCTGGGTGCGTCTGAGGTTA